CTGTAACAACACATTTGCATTGTCTATATTAAATAATACATAGGTAAAGTCAAACTCGGGTGACAAGGTGGCTCAGTGGTTTGCACTGTCACAGCAAGAAGGCATTTCCATGTGGAGTTTGCATGTTCTCCCCGTGTTGGCGTGGGTTTCCTCTGGGTGCTCTGGTTTCCCTCACAGTCCAAACACATGCGCTATAGGGGAAATGAATAAGCTTAATTGGTCGTAGTGTATGTGTGTGTTTCCCAGTGCTAGGTTGCACCTGTAAGGGCATCCGCTGCATAAAACATGCTGGATAAGTTGGCGGTTCATTCTGCTGTGGTGACCCCTGATTAATAAAGGAACTAAGCTGAAGGAAACTGAATGAAGTCATACTACAAACTTTTAGATGTGATTCTGTGACACCAAACAATGTCCCTGCGCAAAGGTTTATGGGTGGCTGAAGTGTCCATCAGTTGCACCCTTCATTCCGAAGGACCCTTCAAAGTGGCCAGTTTTGTGCACTTCATTTTTAGACGACGCTTCAATACGGCAGCCATGATTGTTTTCACTCTGAAGTGGCCTTCAGACAGAGGGTGATATAAAATCCCATTTGGACACAACCAAGAGGTAATCTTTAGGGCAGGGGTGTCCAAAGTCGGTCCTGGAGGGCCGGTGTCCTGCTGACTTTAGCTCCAACTTGCTTCAACACACCTGGCTGGAAGTTTCTATCCGCTTGTTAGGTGTTGACTTGTTTGTGACGGATGTAATACTGTTTCCGGGTCCAAGCTGCCATTCATTTGAGTTGAGAAATCATTCGTTTATGATCTCTTTTTATTCATATCACTCATTAAAGTTAATTTAACATAAAGTCATAGTGTACACAACAATCTCTGGGCTTGCTGCATAACAAATACCAACATTTTAACAATTTATAAAGCAATGAATCACTTTCTGGCCATCGGATATTAGGCATGGACATATATACTGCCATCGTGACTTTCGAAAGTGTTAAATCGCTTTGTAAACGTTTATTATTACCATTTCGTGAATCTCCCCATTCAGTTGAATAGAGCGCTTGGACCCGGAAGCCGCTCCGCGTGACGTCACACTTAACAAGCGGACACCTAGGAAGAGCTTGATTAGCTTTTTTCAATGTGAAAGTACAAAAAAGCTTTTGGAAAAACTTATATCTCCATATAGGTAACCACATTGCTTCTTCCAGACCCTTTCATCTTCAGGATGTCGTTTGTTATTATGGAGGTGGGGCTGATGTATCAGAGAATTACATTATTGATTTTTTTATTTTGTATGGAAAATATTTTATCCATAAACAAAAATTCTCCAGTTCGCAGCCTTCTTTTTCACATTTTTTAATAGAAATTGATGTTTTTATTAAATCTCTTAGATTACTTAATAATAAGAAAAGTGATAGATTTTTAGTTTTCTATGATAAATATTTTGGAAACAGCACGGATACATAAGTCCTCCTTTCCTCTTGCTGTATTTGTGTTATGTATATGTTTAATTTTATTTATTTATTTTTTTCTTTCTTTTCTCTCTTTTGTTTCTCTTTTTATTTAGTTTATATTGTTTATCCTGATCTGTTATTTTCATTGTGTTCTTTTGTGTAAATTGTTGAATTTTGTATGTTTGTTATTGAAGTCAATAAAAAAAAAAATAATAATAATAATAAAAAAAGAAGAGCTTGATTAGCTGGTTCAGGTGTGTTTGATTAGGGTTGGACAGCCTGATCTCACGAGGAAAAGTAAGTATTTTGCGTTTTGTCAGTTTAGTGGCTAATTCATACGAATTCAGTCGTACGATTTTAAAAAGGAGGTGTAGGAGCCATTTGGCAATTGTTCATTGTTCCACTAGGTGGTGCTCTTTACACAGGCTCCATAAGTGGGAATGAACATTCAGGTAACAGGTGTTGCTGGACGGAGGGAAGCACATGCGGTTTTGACCACACAAACACGCACACGCATTCACACAGAGAGCCACACACACTCAGGCCCGGATTGGCTAATCGGGAGGACCGGGAGAATTCCCGGTGGGCCGGTCCATTTTTTGGCCGCGAGGGCCGGTGTCCCTAGCTCCAGAATCTGTTGCTCTCAGCAGTCACACTTTTTAAATTCATTTTTTTATTTACTTGACCACAGCCTTTTTATTCATTATTTTACTGATGATATAAGACTGATGATGATATAACATTACTTTAATGATGATATAAGTCAGATGAGTCACATTTTACTGTACAGCTGTTGTAGTCTAGTGTAGCACGATAGGTTATGACGCCACCGACCCGGGTTTGATCTTCGCCTGAGTAATTTATTATTTTCATTTTTATTGTTAAGACATATAATACTGTTAAGGTTGTTGAATATTTGAAGTTCTGAAGCAGCTGTTTTCTCAAAAAAAAGACGTGATAGTGTCATTAGAAACTGAATCAGAAAAGACCTTATTTTAATATAGTCAGTCGTGAACTGAGGTGGGCCGGTCTGAGGCCACTCCGGCCCTGCACACACTTACACACGAACAAACGCACACACATACCCATACACACATATACGCACACACATTCATTCACGCTTTAGCGTGACGGTTTGTTTTGTTTTGTTTGTAAGTCACGATACTTAGCAGTGTTTGATGTTTCAAACAGAAACTTGTGAACTACTGGAGTTTGCAACTATAAGCGTTTACGCGTTCTGACAAGTTTTTACCTCATTGAGCTGAAATGAACCTAAATTATACTTTCAGTTTTGATCGTACAGATAAGATCAATACATCAATCGAATCTGTTAGGTGTCTACTTTTAAACGTGTACACTCACAACAAAAACAAATGTGTGTGCTTTTGAAAAACAAGGATAATAAACAGTGTAGGCATGCTGTCTTTTCTCTCTCCGTGAACTGTTTTTAGAAACGCGTCAGTAAAATGCGCTGAAACTCCGCGAAAACAATACACCCAGACACGAGACACATATCTTCATAAAGCTTGAAGTGTCTACTTTTAAACGCAGCTATGCATGTTGAAAAAGAGCAGGTGAACAAGATGATTCTTACATCATTTTGAAGCAAAAACACTAGACTACCAGATCCAGTTCTCAAAAGTCTTGTGCACAAATGTTCTCTGTGTGTTTCACGGCCTTGTTTCAGTGATTTCAAAATTTTAGTTTTTCACTAACCACGCATAAACGTTTCTTTCTCAAAAACACAAACACATACAAACATGCTGCTTGGGTATCATTGTAGCCCAACTTGTGCTGTTTACAGTGTTATCACACATTAGCCATTAATATGTTTTTAAGATACTGAAAACAACACAAATGTCAGTGCATGTCAAAACTTCTCCAGAGCCCCAAAACACCCTCAGACCCCAGAGGGTTAAGAGTGAATCCTGCAGACTCACGCAGATGAAAAGCTGACTCAACATCATATGAGTGAAACATGAAAACAAATCTGATGCTCAGGTAAACTGAAGCGCGAGGATCTGTCTCCCTCTTCAGGCCGAGTGAGGAACTGCAGCACACATTCACACTGGAAAATCCAATCTAGAGCAACTTACAGTGAAATATATATTCAGTTCACGTTGAAGAAACTGACAGTAACTTTTCTAGCTGACATCTACTATTGTATAGTCAGTCTTTAAGTGTTGAACTTAATTTCAAAAGTACTGTATGGATTCTGTAAATCTAATATAGAGAGTTTCACGGGTCTAGCTTGAGTCTTTTGATAATAGTGCTTATATGATTATCTGTGAGTTTGTAGATATTAAATATGAGGTATAAACAACTCAGGCATTTATTATTATTATTTTTTTTACATTAATATTGTTCCTTTATAAGTCAAGCATTTTATCCACAAAGGTATTTTTTGCTTACTGATCACTTTTTTTCTCAAAGATTTACCAAAAACATTATCTAAAGGCCCAGTTTAAAACTGAAAATAAAATCTTAATATTTATATTATACTGATGTATTTGTACCCCTGTACATCATGCATGTTAATATTTGTTATATTTATTTATTTTATATATTTATTCATTATTTAAATGCATTTAATTATTTTAACATTTATTTAAATTTATATTATTTAAATGCATAGAATTTAAATATTGTTTAAATTATTTATTTAAAATTATGTATATAT